AAAGAAAAAGAAAGAAAGAAAGAAAGAAAGAAAGAGAAAAAGAAGGAAGGAAAGAAGGAAAGAAAGAAAGAAAGGTAGGTACTGGAATCAAGATTTGGATGTTCAAACGAGCCCAACAGTATTTTTTTTAAATCCCCATGTGAATAGTGAGGAGTTTTCCCTGAATGACGACGGGTGGTCAAAGTGAGAAGGGCGCAAACGGTACCGCTACAGAAGCATCCCTGATATCAGAAGAGAAGCGGGGGAGGAAGTGGGCCGGGTCCCTCACTGGTCCTCAGGCGGGAGGCAACTTCGGACCTTGCACGTCTGTGCCGCAGTCTCTGCTCAGGGGAGAAGCCTATTGCTCGGCTCTGTGGGCAGCTCTGTGGGAGGAGGGGCCAGGAGCGCCAAGACGGGGTCTCAAGTGGAAACACGCTCTGCACGTGCGGGGGTGGGGCTGTATAACCTACGCTGGGGTATGCACCTCCAAAAATTTTGGTCCAGGCTGTGTCGAAGTTGGCCGTGTACTAGAGCAGATGCCGCTGGCTAACCAAGTAGGTTTTGAGGAAGTCATTTCAAATGACAGCAACGATGCCTGAAAAAGCTCAATGAGATGGGCATAGGAGATTCACATTTTATCCGAAAGCAAAACTTACAAAGAAAATAAAAAGTCAACCACACTCCTTCCTTTAGATATTCTGCCATGATTAACTGCTGAAGAGTGAAAAATAAAATGACCCCAGATTCTTTAAGGTCAAGTCAGCCATCAGATGGACAACCTGCAGCTATCAGACCCTCACGGAATCTACTTTCCTGAAGTTGTCACAACGTCCTGTTTTTGAGGTATTTAAAAAAAATTATTGTGACAGTGGATGACACAAAATGGAGCTTCCTGTTACGTTTCTCAAACATTAACTTTTGTGGACCCAAGAGGAAATGTAGAGTAGCACCAACTAAAAAGCAGCCTCAGTGGCATCAAGCGAGCAAAGAAAGCTCCTTCCTTCAGCTGGAACACGAGGAGGGGCCGGCAGGAGCAACGCTGAGGCAAGGGCTGTGAGGGGCACAGAGACGAGCCTGCTGCCCGCCGTGGCCCTGGCCGGTGCCAGGGGAGGGATGAGGGCCGCGTGCGACACCTCTGAGACCCTCCGAGGTGCCTACTTGGCACCCTGGGCTGCAGGAGGAAAACGTGAGTCCTTGGCCACGAGAATGGCTGCCATTTCAGAAGGGGCAGGAGTACCAGACTCCCCTTCCTTTCTCATCAGGCCTGAGAGGACAGATGCGTCACCAGAGCACCTGCCAAGCCAGGCCGGCCCACTCCCGTCACGGTTAGGGAGCCAGCCGCCTTCGGGACTTGCCTTTCTGTGTTCGGCCACCAAGGGAAGAAGAAGAAAACAAAACAGAAAAACTGCTCAGAGCAGGTTTTAGCACGGTAAACAGAGGTCTAAGGAGACAGCACCAAACGGGGGGATGGGGGAAGCCAAGAGAGACCGGAGCCCACCTTGTTTTTGGTTGGTTGTGGTTTCAGAACCTTGATAGCACCTCAGCAGGACAGGATCAGGGACAGTCACATTGAAACACCATAGCACCATTTTATTTAGACTATTTCAATTCATAAAAATGCTTCCTAGTCCATAAAACACACTTCAGTAACAAAAGGAAAGAGATTGGTTGAGGCACGTTAGGGATATCACTTAAATTTTCCACCAGCATCACCTTGGCTTTGAGATCTGGCGGTGGTTCAACTTCACAAAGTCTGGCTGGATTTCTCTCCATGAAATCAGGTTACCATCTCCTCCTCATCAACTGTCCTCACACATCTAGCGCTGTTTGGTACAAAGCACTTGAGCTCTGCTCCTTTCCTGGCTTTAGCACTTTAAAAACCCCTTGCTCTGTAAACTACCGTTTCCAAAAGAGGCTGGTGGAAGGACCAAGAGGGGGCAGGGTATGATCTCTTTCCATGCACACCACGGTCACCCCGGCAAGAGGGCAAGCAGTACCCACGAAGCCAGCGTGTGGGAAACTTAGGCCCTGGCAAAAAAACAAAACAAAACAAAAAAACCCCAAATGACAACAGAAACAAAACCTCAAAATCCATGAAACAACTTTAGTCAAGATTTCTGATAATGGGTTCTTGAGCTAGCACCAGTTATTTTGTGAGAACCTGCCACAAAGCGATTATTTAAAAAAATCTCTTAGCACAGAACTTTGCAAGCACTTCCCTTGCATGCAAAAGGCAGGGGAAACCAAACAAAGGGGGAACCAGATATTCACACTGCATGTGGATGGTGTCTGTGGACAGGGCACGCTGGGGAGAGGGCTCTAGAACTCCATCGTTTCTCCTTGCTATAATATTACTCTAAAACTTGGTCATGCTGTTAGGTTCTTTAGTTGCAATGGCTTTATTTTTCTTCTCATGATAAAAATGTGTTAATCATCTTTAGGACTTAAAAAATGATAGTACCAGTAAAAAATAAAAATTTGATTTTTCTCTTTAAGAAACCTTCAGCAGCAAGGGGGGGCAATAAGGAGCTGTGCATAGTTACTTTTTAAATCTACGTCTAAAGCATGCTAATTTTAATGACTGAGATTTGAGGTAGGTTATACATGTAGTGTGTAAAAATCAGCATGGACTCGAGCATGGCAACAGCACCACCTAATTTCTGAAACACCATTCTGAGGGGAACGGGAGCATCCAATGGAGACTGCCTCTTGACTCACCTCTCAGCAGCCTATGTGCGAGTCGAGAAAGTTATGGACCAAAGGCTGTTGGGGCTGCCGGGACAGACATCACATGCTTTGAGCTTGTTATCGGTTTCTCCTTTCATCTAATGGCTTTTGCTACCAAAGGGTGACGAGGGGAAGAGTATATTTAACAGACATCAGGAAGATTCACACATGCCAAGTATCCGAATCACCTGGGTTACACTCGGGACCTTCCAAACCAACAGCCAACCTGGGGTTTTCCCGGGTCATACAGACGGTCACATTCTCCAAATGTTTCGTAAAATATTGTATTTCTTGCTTAAGATCATTTAAAATGAAGTTTTCAAGGCACCCCCGCATCTACCTAAGCACGGAGTCAAATGAGACCTGCATAAAAGTACTGATGCGATAAGCAAAATAGCATTTAAAGGACCCAACTTTTCCTCAAAACTAGAAAATTAGCATGCTTATTAAAGACTCTGCTTCCTTTAGCTTGTCAAACTGAAGGTCAGAGGTTTTCCTATAAATCTGAGTTCTGAATAATTCTAAATCCTGATAAGCTCTTGGGTATTTATTTCAAAAGCAATATTATTTCATTTTTGTCCTGTAAAATAAATGCAACTTTACAGAATATGGTAAAAGTGAAGGATAGACAAAGCACGTTAAATATTGAGCTACTATTTACAATTTCTCCCACAATTACATGTTAAAACATATTTTTTTTTCAAGTTGCTGTTTAAATCTAGGCAAAAGTGCTTTAAAAAAATCTCTCACTATGTACAGTTAAAACCAGACCACATAAATGCTCAGGACATCTTACAGCGACTCTCCGCCAGTGCTTCTGACCAGTTACGGCAAACACCCAGCGGGTCGGTTCTCAGCTCTTACACAAGGCACCTGGAAGCTCAGGAACTTGCCTTTAGCATCGTCATCTGATTGTTAAACTCGTTTTACGAAGACCCACATCTGAATAAAACTGCTCAATAAATATCTGACATTTATCTCAGGGCTTGGTTGTCATTCACTGTGTGGCCATATTCCCCTCTGTGTGTCCTGCTGAAGCCTCCCACTCACTACACACGTCTACACGGGCAACTTGATGGAAGTGTCACTCACACCACAGGAAAAACAAACACGCCAGGAAGTCTGACTTGCTGTCCACGACTGCTGCTTCTACCAGTCAGGCCCAACTGCTCTCCACAATGTTGCAAAAATGAAGCACCACATTCTCATTTTGAAGAACTGAACGAATGCACCAGAATTTTAGAATGGGCAAGTTAAAGTGGGGGGAAGGGGAAAGGAGAAGATGATCAACTCGAGAAATGGCACCAATTAGGGAGGGAAATCATAGCTACCTGCTGAAAACGTTGGACTCCTGCATTTTAAGATTGCTGAGTGCAAGCCCGCCCCTGCCCATGATAGCGTGGAGGGGGCGGGCTCAGGTGGTGAGGCCTGCACCATTGTCCAATGTGGAAATCCAGGAAGAGAGATGCGTTAACTGCTGTTACACCGGTGTGCCGGGCTCCCCCAGGACGCGGCCCGCCCCCGAGTCGAGGAGGCCCCAGCACGATACCACAGCACCAGGCTCTGCGCAGCGCCGAGCGGCGGGGCGACGCTGGCTTTTCACAGCTTGGGTTCAACTTCTTGTTTTTCGAGATACAGTAGCCCTTTTTCAATATCAGCATAGGCTTTGGGGCATTTTTTTTAAAAAATAAACTGCCACTAAGACGAATTCCTTCAGCCCAGTATTCATTGGCTTGTCAACCCAGTGGAAATGGCTCCTCAGAGCCTCTCAACTCCAGCTCCATCAAGGAGGTGCTGCCTAGGGAACCGTGACATCATGTGACTCGATCAGTAACGGACAGAGAAGATTCAGTGTGGAGACTAGCAAGCTTGAAGCTGTCTACTTCCAACCTGGTTTCTGGGGGAAATCTACGCCAGCATCTCTGTTGCCTGGCCTGGGGGGTGCACCTGCCTCCCCGGTCCCCGACTCCAAGCCGGTGACTGGAAAAGGGCCCCCAGATGTTTTTCTACAGATTCTCCCATCCTACTGGAAAGGACAGAAGCTGTCCTGAGGGCTCCCTCCCCTGAAGGGAAGGCGTATCTGTCAGGAGGGATGGACCAGGGTGGCTACAGTCTGCACTTGGCTCATGAGGGGCAGATGGCTGAGAGAACCTTGCCAGCTCCCAAGAGGGCCAGGCTCGCTGGGCCCTGCAAGACCGGGCAGGAATGAGCGCTTTTGGCCTTTCCTGCCGCTCCTTTACCATTACTATTGTTGCTTTTTAAAAAATCCAATAAATACACATTTTTAAATGGAATTTAAAACTACTCCTTTGTGAAAGGACACTATAAACTTTCTTTCCATTATTGTGATATACAAGGATAGAGTTTTAAAAACAAGAGGAAATAAAAGCCCCCCAGACAAGGGGGAGGGGAGAAAAAAACCAACGTGGAGATATAAATATTAAGATCACGAAAAAAATCACCCGACAGCCGTAGTTTCTTCTTCAAAGTGCTGGGGAAGTGGGGGGGGAGGGGAGGGGCGGGTCAGTTCTGAGGTTTGGACCATAAATACATATATATGCATATCTATATATGTATATATAGATAAAAAGACTTCTGCACCCCCAACCCGCCCCCAGGTGTGAGGGCAAAAGCACCACAGAGGCAGCTCGGGCCGGGCCCGACGCTGAGGTACGCTGGCTCCCTGGCTCCCTGGCACCTAGATCCAGCGGCTGTAGGGGCCAGTGACCTTCGTGTAGGCGTAGGAGGACACGGTGACTGCTGAGTCTGTGGGCACGGCCAGCGCCTGCCGAGTGGGGACAATCCCCTTCTTCTCCTTATGCTGGGGCTCGGCCACCATGGCACCCCCCCATTTGCGCTTCTTCCCATAGAGCTTGGCCTCCTGCTGGCCCAGGCCCAGCCGGGCGGCCTCCTCCTGTCGCGCCCGGGCCCTCTCCGCCAGTTGCTTCATCTTGGCCTCCCAGAGGGCCAGCCCGTGATTGGGCTGGTTGAGGTTCTTGTGCTGGTAGAAGACCAGCGAGATGCGGGTGGGGTGGCAGCGGTTGGGTTTCTTGAGGGGCGTGGTGGCATGCAGCTCCCGCCGGGCGCACTCGATGAGGATTGAGCCGTGAGCGGGGGCCACGGCCACACCGCCGATGTTCTCGTCCAGGAAGTTGTGTTCACTGTCAGACCAGAGCTCCTCCTCCTCCTCCGCCCCGACACTCTTCTCCTCCTTCACTGCCCCCTTGTCGGGGGCGTCCTCGGCAGTCCCCTCCTCCAGGCTGAAGGGATCCCACAGCTTTTCCTCTGACTTTAGGGCCCCGAAGAGCTTCTCGCTGGAGCCCAGGGGCATGCTGAAGGACTGCCAGGCTTTGTCCAGCTGGCTTGCCCCCGGGGTTGGAAGCCGTCCCTCCTCTCCTTTCAGGGGGCTCCACAACTTGTCTTGGAACCCAGGACCGCTTTTCAGGGCAGAGTTGAAATCCCCGGCCCCAATCCCCCACGGCTTCTCAGTCAGGCTGGGCCCGGCCAAGGCTGAGGTGTTGTTCCCAAACTTGCAGGGGCTCCACGGTTTGCCTCGGAGCCGCCCTCCAGGCTGGGGGGCTGGCTGCTGCCCCTCGCTAGGGAACAGCCCCCACTGGCCGTCCGGGAAGTGGGAAGGGGTCAGGCAGCTGGCCCCATAAGAACTGAGCTTGTCGGGGATGATGGCAGGGCTCTCCCCAGGATGGAACACACCCCAGCTGCCACCCACACTGTTAGTCCTCTTGGGGGACATGCTTGGGCCTCCTGAGTACTGCCCCCATAGGTGATTGGGTCCCCCATTCTGAGAAGCCTCGGGCAAAGGTGTTTTGCCCATCTTACCAGGGTCTCTGGGTATAGACTCAGCCTGGACCAGAGGGTCTACTGGCTCTTGCTTGATGGATCTGTTGTAGCAGGTGGAGCTCTGTGCAAAGGGAGAGGGGTCCCTGGATGCTGGGTGGATCTGGGGAGCCTTGGGAAGCAGATACTCCTTGGGGCCTGGATAAGCAGGCTGCTGGTGGTGAGGAGTGGGGTGGTGGGTATCCGTGGGAACAGCCTGGCCAGGCAGCTCGGCAAACTCAGCACCACCGTAGGCCGGGCTCAGGCTGTTGTGCAGAGTGTGGAGGTCTGGCTTCTTCTCAAAACTGCTGCCACCGCCACCGTGTCCCCACGTGCCAGGCCCCAAGAACTGTGAGGGGAAGACGGGGTTGCTGGATGGAAAGCCATAGTAGCCGAACGACGGAAGAGCGTACTTGGAGTGGAAGCCGTTGACGGAGGTCAGGCCGGGCTGTGCATAGTAGGAGTGGTAGGAGTACACGCTATTCATGCTGTAGGGGTCGGACGGCCGGCAGTTGCCCAGCACCGAGTAGCTCTCCACCACCGCGTTGCCGCTGTATTTGAAGGAGCTGAAGTGGTTCTGTGGCTCCACTTTGAGGGAGGGCTTCAGGCCTTGCTGGGGCAATCCGCCCTTCAGAGCCAGGCCTGGAGAAGACAGGAGGCAAGACCAAGAAGGAGCAGAGAGAACCATAGCCCACAGCAGCCCGGAGCAAGAGGACTGCGCATGGAACCTCCCTCTTCCCCTAAGGGGTTCCCAGCCCCACGGAAGCCCCGGGAGGAGCCCCCTGCAGCACTCCTCCTCCTCCTCCCTTCCCTGGTGAACCCCACGGGTCCTCACTGGCTCAGGCGACGTGAGAGCGGCCCACGCCCCCCTGCAGACCACGCGCCTGAGGCCCTGGCACACTGTGCAGATGCTCAGGCAAGCTGCAGGAGAAGCCCAGCTCCTCTGTGGGAAGAGGGGACCCCCCAGCTCTGGTGTCCTGGGGCTGCCGCAGATGCTGCGCTGACTGAAAGCTAAGATAATGTGGGGTTCAGAGGGCTGAGAGAGGCCCCGGGACTCTGGTCTGGAGTTCCATCTCAAGGCAGGAAAAGGGGCAGGGAGGGAGCTGTCCAGGGCCACACCGCCCCCCACCCCGACAGTGCCACCTCTGGCAGGCACCTTCTCCCCACACACCTGGGTCAGTGGTGACACCGGCCAGCTCGAGGGCCTCCTGTTTGATCTTCTCGGGAGTGCTCAGCTTCTCCTTCTGAATTTTCTTCTTCTCCGCCGCTGCCTTTCTGGCTTCCAGCTGCCGCTGACGGCACGACTTGGCAGGCTCGGGCAGGCGCCGGACCTCGCGGGGGAAGGCCGTGAGCACCTGGATGGCCCCGCTGCCCACCTTGGCGTTCTGGTTCTCCTCACTGCCAAACTCGTCCGTGTTGGCCATCTTGTACAGGGGGAGCACGTGCAGCTGCTCGTCCTCGGGAATCTTGCCCACGCAGCGATTGTCTTCCTTGGTCAGGGTGCAGACCTGCCCCAAGCAGAGAGAGGGAAGGTGCATGGGGTTGGGGGCGCTGAGTGCTGGGGGCAAGGGGCTGAACATCCACAGACAAGACCTCCCCCTCTTCCGCACACAGTCCCAACACCAGCCAGCCACTCTTCCTAGAGTGTCTAAAAGCACGTTCCCCCTGGTTCACAGAGTAACAGTATCATCGGCATTTAGAATCTGCTCTACAGCTTTCAAAGGCCATCCATTCACTTTGTCTCGTGCGACCCTCCGGGGGCTGGGAGGGGGCCCGGTCAGGACTGGCAGCCGTGCTCTGCCCTCCAGCGGGGCATTCTTGTCATTACGCCTCATCACCTCACCGAGCCTCAGACCCCACACCGTTATCCTCCGCGCCCTGAACACACAGCCTCCTTTTGCTCTTAAAATACCTTGTATTAAAAACTACATGTGCTGCTTGTAGAGAATTTAGGCCAGCACAAAGGAAATAATAATTATCTCCATAATCCCACCATCCAGAAATAATCACTATAAACACGTTGATCATATTTGCATACACACATACCCAAACTCGCTTTTTGATAATGAAATAGGACATTATGCATGCAACTTTATAATAACTTCTTTTTAAACACAATATGAGTACTTTCTTATGCATTATTCTCTCCTGATGTGATTTAAAAACTTGCATATTATTCTACTGTATCAATGTATTCTTTTAAACCGTCATCGCCATTAAAACTTGTTTCCACTTTTTTCCTATCATAAACAATACTTTTATACTTCCAGCTAAATTTTCTAAGATACATAATTCCTTAGAAGAAACTCTGTGAAGTAAAGGGCTACATGTTGCCAAACTGCCCTCCAAAAGGATTCTCCTCAGTGTTTCACTCATAGTGACAGAAGGGGAGTTTCCATTTTCCTACACTTTTGCTTATAATTTTGCCATTCACTTCTGAAAAACATTTTGCTTATTATCGAAATGTATCTCATTGTTGGTCTGCATTTCTCTGATTTCTAATGAGGTTTGATTTTTTTTCTCTCTCAAGTTTACTCTTTACTCTTGTGTTGACTATATTTTATTTTCTGTGTTCTTGATGTTTTGGCATTCGGGACCTTGACCCTGGAGGGGCTGTCCTTCCCCAAAGACTAGCTAATGCCTAGAGATAGCAAATGACCTCCTTTGGGTGCACTCTGATATACAAACCAACCAATCAAGGGTCCACACAGCCACCTCTCTCTTTTACCAAACTCTTGCACACTGAGCCAATATTCCCACGGCCCTATATCACCCACGGCCAGGGAAGACAACTGCGGACCATCCCTATGGCCCAGAGCCCCCAGAAACTATCCAAACTCTCCAATCCTCAGCTGACTCAGCTTTCTACTTTGCCTTGCCCACTCCTTCCCACAGACTCTCCAGTAAAAGCTCTGGGCCACACTCTCCCCTCTCCACCCTGCCTTCTGACCAATCCCAGTGCATCCGCATGGCCCAGCGTGTGCTTCTGAAGGCTAAGGACAAGCTTCTGTCCTCTCGACACTCATGTCTGTCTTATCAGACTTGAGTAAAACAAAGCCTGGGTATATTTTAATACCACTCTCTGTCTTCCTTTTTTTGTGACTTTTATGCCTTTTGCCCATTTTTATACTGGACTATTCATTTTAATCATTCATATAAAACAATCTTTGTATGTGAAGGTTATTCCCTTTGTCACTTGTTATAAATACTGTTTTCCAGTTTGGACTGGACTTTCAGTTTTGATCGTGGGTTTTGTTTTTTTTTTTAAAGATTTTATTTATTTATTCATGAGAGATAGAGAGAGGCAGAGGGAGAAGCAGGCTTCAAAGGAGCAGAGAGCCCGATGTGGGACTCGATCCCAGGACCCTGGGATCATGACCTGAGCCGAAGGCAGATGCTTAACCATCTGAGCCACCCAGGCGCCCCTGATCGTGGGGTTTTATTATTGAACAGAAACAGTTCATTTTTATGAAGTCGGCTGTATTTATCTTCCCCTCTGTAGCTTCTCCTTTGGTGTCATGCTCTACCAAGTATGTTTCTTCCCAGCGTATGTGTGGCTCTTCAGACTTAATCTGCTCTGACCAGACCCCCACATACCTTCTGGGTTGGACTGACCACAGCCCTGCTTCCAATCATTCCCTAAAACCCAATGTGATAAACAAAACAGCAAAGAATGAGAGATGACAGAAGCGGTGTTTCTCTCCCTAACACAGATAACTTACCAACATCAACAGATGGGGTTATCCTTTTTTTTTTTTTAAGGACATAAAGGATAGTCAGATAAAATTTAAATGGGTAAGAAATATAGAAAAAGATGTTCAACCTCTCTCATAATAAAAGAAACAAATTGCAGTGAGATGATATGTGTGCCACTCAGGCAGGCGAAGACTCAAGAAATTGAGAATGCCCTATGTTGCAAGTAAGCAGCACCCTAAGCCTCTAAATGTCCCTACCCTGGGGTCTCAAGGGGATTATTCCACCACTGCACCAAGATGTGATCAGGCTGGACCCTCCCTCTGGTTTCTGGAGGGGGAGGCTGGACACATTGTCCATACAGAGGGGGACAAACGACGGCAGAGCCATCCATGCAGCCTGACCACATGCTCAAGTAAGTCTATGTGCGGGGACGCAGAAGCTGTCCGTCATGTAGTCTTGAGAAAGGCGGGGCACGGAGCGGCACATACACATAATGTGACCGCGTCTGTGTAAAACCCATGCAGCTGTACGCACACACACAATCGGGGCCTGAAAGGACAGTCATCCCAGTGTGAACGCTGGTTATGTCTATGAGATTTCACGCAATTTTTACTTTATACTTTCTTATATTCTTTACTTTTTGAACAGTTTTTTAATTAGAAAAAATACTGTTTTGAAAAAAGTTTGCTTTTTTTCACTCCAAACTCTACAAGCTCTGGGACTGGAATAACCTCACTGTGCTCCTACCTCCCGTGTCTCCTCCTCCTTCCCTGACCCGCTCCTAAATCCTGGAGTTCCCACCCTTTCTCTCTGTTTCAGCTAGAAACCCTCACAGTGCAGTGTGGACAGGCGCCTGCCCCATCTTGCTTCGAGCCCTGGACATAAGGAAGGAAGACAAGGCAGAGAAATAAAATCTCAGGGCTGGGCCATCAATCCCTGTGTCAGGCCCAAGCTACACCCAGACTCTGGGAGCCCCCTTCAAATGAATCACCAGGGCCTCTGCCTCTTCCACAGTTCCTCAGGGAGCCCTGCCTGCCCAGGACCCAGTTAAAAAGCAAAGCAGAGAGCTGGCATCACCCCTTCGAGGGGGTCCCCACTCAAGGCCAAACCTCCCCTCTTCTCCAACTGTACTCACTCCTCCGGTGACTGCATCCGGCCTTGTGGCTGTAACTGGGAGCTACAGGCTCTCCAGATACCCCCCCTCCCCTGCCTGCTCTGCATGTCCACCTGGACATCTGGCAGGCCTCTCAAAACAGGTTCCCCCCAAACTGGCCTTCTCTGCTAGTCTACAGCTCAGCACATCACCCCGACACTTGCCCTGGTGCTCAAGCAAAACAACTTGAGTGGTTCTCTTGTCCTTCCCTCTCCTGTCCTGTATCTGTCCATCAGCAACCCCCCTTGGCTATGCCTTAAAAATCACCCCAAGTCATCCAATTACCCCCCCCACCCTCCCTCCTGCCCCAGCCCCGTCACCTCTAGCCTCGACATTGCCCAGCCTTCCAACTGGCCTCCTCCTCCGGTTCTCTCCCATCCACCCCCTCCCCCCACCTCTACATACTTATTCTCCATCTGCAGGAGAAAGAGCGTGCTTCTGACTTCAGAGATGAGATCCTACTACTCTCGGCTGAAGAGCCCTCCAGGGCTTCCCATCACACTTGGAGCACAGCCCACAGCCTCGCCTGCCTTCTGGGCTCCCTGTGACCTGATCCCTGCCTGCCTCTGAGCCTTTGCCTGTGCTGGTCCTTCTGCCTGGAGCGCTCCACCCCCAGACATACAATCCTTTACTCTCTCGCTTCATTCATGTCTCGGCTCAGCTGCCCCTTCTCAGAAAGGCCTCTCTGCCCACGACATTTCAAACAGCATCTGCTCTCACTTTCCCCCTTCCCCGACTCCATCTTCATCGCTACCAGACATGAATTGTGTCTCATACTTGGACAGGACTTGGTCCATTTTATTCCCCAAGATCTAGACCAGCACCTGGGGCACAATAAACATTTGCTCAATGGGTGAATCAAGAGATTGTTTGGATTTAAATCCAAGTGTTTACGGAGACCTGGAACCGTCTTTAGGTAACTGAGGGCCTCCAGGTGTCCAAGAGACTGCACTCTGCAGCATCCACCTGAGACACAGAGACAAGGCCGGCCTGGCTCAAGCATTCCGGTCCATGCATTTCTCAGAGAAGTGAGCAGGAGCAGTCTGGCAGGGCACCACCCAGAGATGAGACTCTTGTCTCCAGGTCCCTCCCTACTCTGAGCCACCTGTCTGCACAAACCAGTCCCCCTCCCAGGATCATCCCACAGGGGGCACTGTGACAGGCCCAGGGTTCCTTACCACGGTGCACCCGTTGTAGAGGTTATGCTGGTCCTTGTGGGCGTGGGCACAGAAGTCCATGCAGGCCGTGACCCCCGAGAAGGGCCGCCCTTCCTTCAGCCCCAGGCGGCAGTCAATCGCTATTTCCTCATTGGTCACCTGTGTGGACGGCCAAGGACAACTGCTTGTGTGACCTGAGGTCAGTGGCCTGGATTCTGCACTGGGGAGGTTAAGGACCACGGCTGCCTTGCACATGGGCTGCAGAAGGTAGGCTTTCTGGCTGAAGCCTCTGTAGGAATGACTTCCTTCTCAGTTATCTCAAGTCCCTCTCACCTCATCTGGAAGATGCAGGGGCGACAGGACAGAGAAACTCGAGCCTCCCCAGGAGAAGCCAGACCAGAGGAGGTGGGAGATTACTAGGGGGGAGAGGCATGAAAGCAAGGGATAGAGGACAGATAGTCTGGGATGCAGTTAGCTCAGTGTAAAGAAAGGATCTTACTCAAGACCTACATCATTACTCTCTGAGCTTTTCCCATATGGAACACGATGGGAGGAGCTCAGTCTCCCACTTCCCGACTTCAGGGAGCACGGACAGAGATGTGGATGACATGTGGGCAGAGAAAGGCCCAAGACCCCGTACCTGGTTCTGATAGGCCTGGGGGGCCAGCCTCTTGTACAGGGGAGCGACTTCGGTGGCCAGGTCCTGGAAACTCTTCCGGAGCACTTCTTCCTGTGGAGAAAAGAGCAGTCACACGTATCCAGAGCATCCCCACCTGGCAAACTCTATACGCTGGAAGTTAACCTCCATCCTAGAACCATCGCGGGGCTGCTGGGAAGGTAGGAAGTAAGGTGCCATCATCATCAGGTGTCTTTACAGAGTTCCCTCTGGGAGGGGTGTGGTGCCATGTGCGTTTTAAAGTTGGAGACATGGAAGCTCGGGAAAAGTGTCGGCCTGAAGGTCCAGCCACCTGGACTGCTCAGCTACTGCTCTTCCAGGCTCTAGCTCAGTGCCGCTCACAACCCGTACAACAGGTTGTTGGTTTTGAGTGCTCGGCATCCTAGGGCAGACGGGTGGTGTGGTAGGCATGTGAAAGCAGGAGCAACACGTGTGGCTTTTTCTTCCGGTGTTAGAGACAGGAAGATGGAGAGGAGAGGGGTGGTGAAGGTCTGTGCTGGGAACTGCCTAGGCCCGCACCATCGTATGCGGTAGTCACGAGCCATGTGCTGCTACTGAAATTTATATGAATCTTAATTAAAATGAAGAATTCAGTCCCCCTGTTTTCCTAGTGATGTTTCAAATGCTTGGTGGCTCTGTGTGGCTCCCGTGCTGTGTTTTTACAGAGAACATCTGCCTGCTCACAGAAGGTCCACTGGCCAGTGCTGCCCCACACAGAGCAGCACCCCAGCGACATTTGGTCAGGGATTCAGGTAGCCACAGCCTGGCCCTCGAGGGGTGGCAAGTAGGGCTGGCAGGGGTGGGGCCAGGGGCCTCCTAGAAGGCCTTGAGCACAGACATGAAGAGTTTACACAGAAAAAAGAGGAAGAAGACGGAAGAGAAAAAGAACCAAACTTACAGAAGCAGAAATGTGAGATCACGGCCAATGGCTCAGCTGTCCGTCCAGTCGGGCGGCTACCCCCAATCTCTGGCTGCAGTCCAAAGGCTGCCACCGACCGACAGAGTGGGCCCAAGGCCAGCACAGCGCAGGGGTGAGGCTCGTGAGCTCTGGGGGAACCCAGGCCTGACTTCACCATTACTGCCATATGGCCTTGGGCAAGCCATTTGCCTCCTCTGTAAAGTGAGTAGCAGTAATGCCCAGAGCCTGGGGTGTCATGAGCCTGGCTGAGATGCACACCCGTGAGGTGCTGGCCTGCGTGCTCAGCACTACATAAGTTCACGGGAATGCTAGCTGAGGGAACAGGGCGAGTATGTGAGAGAAATTAAAGCAGGGCATTTTCACTCCTGGTAATTCTTACTTCCTGGGGTCCTGGGGCTCCTCTCTTATTGAAATAGCTGCATTTGCTGCTTCCAGGGGAGGGCAGATGCCACCATAAATAAAAGTCCAGTGTCAAATCAGACTATTAGACTAGCTTGTGCAATAGTCTAAAAGCCAGGCTTTGGGGGTGCCAGGGTGGCTCAGTCAGTTGTGCATCTGACTCTTGATTTTAGCTTGGGTCGTGATCTGGGGGTTGTGGGATTGTGCCGAGCTCAGCGGGGAGCCTGCTTCTCCTCCCTCTGCTCTCGTTCTTTCTCCCACTCCAGCTCTTCCTCTCTCTCTCTCATTCGTAAATAAATAAATAAAATAAATAAATAAAATCTTAAAAAAATAAAAGCCAAGCTTTGAGGGAAAAAGTGTTCTGCATTTGAAAATGCTTCCTTTAACTTCTGAAAAGCAGGGCTGAGAACTCTGAGTTTATTATATGTACAGTAGAAAAACATAGGCCCAAGGGGAGTCCCCACGCCCCGTGGAAAAGGGGGAAACCCTCTGGACAAGGAGCTTAAGGAGACGTGGAAGGTAGAGCCAGGGACCAAGATGTTGCCTAGATCCCCACAAAAGGACCCAGTACCCTATCTCACAGGAGCTCAGGCAGGAGGGAGGGGGGAGGCTGAAGGGGAAATGATGGGGAGCCCAGACAGGCCTGTACCTTCTCTGCATTTGAAACTCAGAGGGGAGCCCACCTCTCGGGATGGCCTTCACAGGCAGGACAACAGAGGGGAAGGAGCAAGGCAGAAGGCAGCCTGACCTGACGAGGAGGCTACCGAGAGGCCATACTGTGTGGACACCAGGCCAGTGCCTAAGAGCCAGGCCAGGCTCCCAGGAGGAGATAGCAAGGGCCCAGACAGGTGGACAACCTCACAAAGAGGTCACCTGGCAGCCAGGCAGGACGAGGGCCATTTTGGGAAGTCTGAACTTGCCCCAGAAAATGGCCCACGGCCTCAAGGCTCCTCTTCCTGCGAAACCTCCCAGCCCCTGAAAGATGTCTTGGGAAGACTGAAGAGAAGAAATGACCTATAAAGGAGGTCACATTCTGATGAGGAATTTGAACATTTACCATAAAGAGACTGTTTTAAAGCTGGAAGAGTCTGAGGTACCTGTCATTAAGTTTTCACTCCCCACACCCCTCCACACCACACCCCACACCCCACCCCACATACCTTACTTCACAGCAAGATAAGGTCAGTTAAAAAAAAAAATAAAGCAAGTTGCATTTTCCGCACATCTGAGCCTCCCGCGTGCTAATCCACCCTCCCCGCCGGACTATGAAAGGCATTAGGTGGAAGGGGACAAGCGGGAGGGCCCCACTGCTCTGTGGAGCTCTGCTCACCTCCTTGGGATTGTCCCCTGCAAGGCGGAACTTGCGCGGCGTCTTGCTGCGAGCGTATTTGCAGCCGTTGAAGTACATGCTCCAGGAACAACCAAAGGAGAAGGAGGCACCGCAGGTGCTGGGGTCTTTGCCTTGGCAAGCGCAGGTCCGGCTGCAACATACGTCACATGTTAGGCATGCAGACACATTTTTTTGTTCGGAAATCTTCCTCCCTCCCCAGGGGGAGGTCCTGCTGAGGCCTAGTATCCGTGGCCTCCCAGTGACTGGGACCACATCCTTCTCTGCCTTCACAACTGCTTTCCCAAATGTCCTGGGGTAGAGAATCAGCTCCCACCCCCTGAGCCTGTAGGTCTAAGAATCTGTTGTTGGGAGAAGCTCATGGGTTGTTTGAGGTAAGTGGGAAGAATCTAATCAAAACCCCAGTAAGGTTTATCCTTTGTCTTAACTCTAGTATGACAGCTTCTGACACATTCGACACACACAGGGACGTATTTGAACACGCCCGCTTCCTTCAGGCCCAGGTGCTTCAGGCCTTTAAACACAGACATTATAACTCCACAACTGATAAAGTCTGGAAACAATCCCGAGGCCCCCCAACTGGGGAATGGATAAACGAGCAGTGATGCCCCCAGCAGTGGCGTACTACTCAGCAGTAAAAAGGAATGAGCTACCCACAAGCACAGGTGGAGCTCAGAAACACTGATAAATGCTCAGGGAAGGAAGCTAGACCCAAAGGGCTACACTCGGTCTGGTTCCGTTTATAGAACATTCTTGGAATGGCAAACCTATGGGGACATGAAGCACGACTGGTGGTTGCCACAGGCAGAAGGAAGGACTTGCTTCTAAAGGGGTGCGGGGGAATTGGGGCGAACGATGGAACCGTTCTATATCTTGATGGTGGTGGTGGTGGTGGTGGCTACAGGACTAAACATTTGTCCCTCTTCAAACCTGTACACCTGAAACTATTACACTGTGTGTTAATTAACTGGAATTTAAATAAAAGCTTAAAAAAAAATCAAACTCCTCAAACCGTATACCTAAAAGGATGAATTTTTACTTTAATTTTTTTCTTTAGTAAAAATACCTTAATTTAAAAAAATGGGAAGAGACCCTAGAAGGGCAGGTTTCATAACTACCACTGACACCTTACACTTGCGGGACACTCACATACTTTTTCACAGTTGCTCCATCATTAGAGCCCCAGAGCCCATGTGAGGTTCAACAGCGAAGCCGAGCCAAGGCAAGAGACCCTCTCCCGCCAGCACAGGACGAGGGTCCTGTGGATCGTGGGGCAGCTGCTTTCATCACAGTCCAGACTGCAGGACAGACAGGCCCCAGTTGAGGGGGGGCAAAGTCCCCTGCATCTGCTGCCCAAGGCCCTGCTGATGGCCACCTGGCCCAGCCACCCCCACCCTTGCACGCAGGGACCACCCCCCACCCCCCACGTACTCATCGTTGAGGCCACATCTCCGGCTGGTGGGGTTCCCATACTTCCGGAGGGTGTCGGTGAGCTCTTGGTAGAGGGTGTCTCCGAGGCTGCGGGGGATGCCTTCCCAGGCCAGGATAAGGATGACAATCACCGCGTTCTGGCAGTGGTGGCCCGCCCGGTGCCGCACCAGGCACAGCAGCTTCTCCTCCAGCGTATGCCTGCGGATCACCTGCAGGGACGCGGGGCAGGGTGGGCGCTGTTCACTGTCGGAGCCTGGTCCCCACGCTCCTCTGCCTGGGACGCCGCACCCCCCCCCCCACCTCTGCCGGCCAGACCAGGGGGCGCAGGTCTTTAGGGCAGTGTCGACAGCAATCATGCAGACTAAGAGACCGTTATCATTAGGGAATAATGAACGCAAACGTTATTTTTTTAAGAGCAAAATAAAAAACAATTACTACAAAATCTAAGTGATTGATGGGCTGCAGAGGCTTAGCACTAAATATAGAGAGATAAAATTGTGAGCCAAAATATATTGAGATTTTTTTTTTTTATGTAGTCCTAAAATATTTGCAGAGAAAATGCTGCTTATCTGTATGATTTTAGTTACAAAGCAAAAGGCTTTGGTGCTGTGGAAGTTTTTGGCAGTTTCTCGAAACATGTCATTACCATATGCCCAGGCAGTGCCACTCCCAGGAATATACCCAAGGGGACCGAGAGCAGGACCGAGAGCAGGGCCCGGGACATGGGTCTGTACATTCGTGTTCAGAGTATCCTTAGTCACAGCAGCCAAACAGTGGAAACAACCCAAGTGTCCATCAACAGATACGGGCCAACAAAATGGGGCCTCTCCATCCAATGGAGCAGTCGTCAACCTTAAAAAGGAAGGAACATCGGACACATGCGGCAACATGGAAGAACCCGGAGAATATCATGTTAAGTGAAATAAGCCAGACACTAAAGAACAAATACCGTGTAAGATCCCGCTTACAAAGAGTGCCTGGAACAGTCAGACTCACAGAGACAGCAGGTGGGAGGGTGGCTGTCAGGAGCTTGGGGGGCAGAGAACAGGGTACAGAGTTTCTGGATTCTAAAAGTTTTGAAAATATAGAGTGTGCTGACGGCTGCATAAGAATGTGAATGCAGTTCATAGCACTGTGCACTTAAAAATGGTTAAAATGGCCAATTTTAGGTTATGTATAATTCAACACAATTTTTAAAAATTAGTAGCATACCCCAAACCAGTGAGCTGTGTACTTTGAATGCATGAATTGTACGGTATATGAATTGTATCTCAATAAAGCTCTTAGAGAACACAAAAAGCAAGGGCCTGGGGCTCCGTGCTGCATGGCTCCTCAGCAGGCTCTCCCCCCACCCCGCTCTCACTCACTCCCAGAACTCTGACCTGGCTCCCAAAAGGATATGGCACGGCTAAGGGCCTGGGAGCTGGGGGACGAGGTGGCTGACCTCCCCTAAGAGCCCCAACGAATTCTGGGAGCTGATGAGGGCCTATGAAGAGGCGAAGGAGGAGGGCAGACTGGGAAGGGCTCTGAGGGACAAGGACTCAAGGTGGGGCTTCCACAAAGGAGTCTACACAGGGGGCTTTCCTAAGTAGCTTCCTGCTCTAGAAGGGGAGCAGGTGGTCGGGGGCAGGGGAGAGTGACAGGGAGACCACTAACAAACATAACACAAGCCAAAGTGGGTAAAGTGCTGAACTAGGGCAGTGGGGAATGACACGGGAAAAGGAATGCATTCAGACACACTGAGGAGAAAGGTGGCTTTGGGACCGTCTGACTCTAGGGGCTGAGGAAGAGGAGAAAGTCTTAAATGGATTTCCACTTTTGTGGCAGGGGAGAGTGGGTAGGTTGTGGGTTGTTTCATGGCGAGTTAACTGGGAACATGCCGGGGCTGAGAGTGGCCGGTTCTCGTAGACCCCAGTAGCCGGGGTCTGGGGGTCAGGAGATGCCTGGGCTGCAGACACGCTCGGTCCTGAGTATGTCAGTGCAGGGAGACGTCCAAAGAGGCAGCCATCCAGGCAGGATAAATAAGGAGAGTGGGCCAGCCGGACAACTGGGGAGCAGTGTGGACCACGGCCACGTGAAAAACACACTTGCCCCTTCAAAAGAAATAAGCCAGGGCTTCTCTCCATCAGCCACTGCCTGGGGAGAATTTCAGCCTCGTACAACCACCTCTCCCAATTTTAACAAGACAACAGAGATCCAGACTTTACATGCAATCTCTCCCTTTACAGAGGTGAGCATCTAATTCAATGTTTTAAAACATGGTAAAACAGGACATAAAATTGACCTCGGTGGCCGTTGCTCAGTGTAAAGTTCAGTGGCTAAGTACACAGCTGCCACCAGAACTCCGTCCGCCTCCACGACGTCCTCTCATCCCAAGCAGAAACTCTGTCCCCATGTAACACTCTCTCCCCTCTCTCCTGCCCCGGCCCATGGTAACAACCACTCTACCTGCTGACACTCCGAGGAGTGTGACTATGCGCAGAACCTCATACACGTGGAATCACGTGGGACTTGTCCTTTTGGGACTGGCTTAGTTCACTTAGTGTAACAGCCTCAAGGTTCATCCATGTGGCAGCAGATGTCAGAATTCCCTTCAAAATTTTAAGGGGCACCCTGCATACTAAACAAAACACATCTCTGGCCCACGAGTTCCTACTTCGAGCCAACCCAGGGAAGCATCGGTTACATCCTTATTTTTTTATTTTTATTTATTTTTTTTTTTGGGGAAAAGTAACCTATGACCACGTCACTAAGTCATGCCGTGAGAGGACTCGCTGCCTGACTGCCCGGCCTCCGCAGACTGAGCTGGCCATACCGTGAGCAGCTGCGCATGGCCCAGGTACTGGTAAGACAGCAGTCCCTAGGGGCACCTGGTGGCTCAGTCGTTACGCGTCTGCCTTCGGCTCAGGTCATGGTCCCGGGGTCCTGGGATCAAGCCCCACATTGGGCTCCCTGCTCCGTGGAGAGTCTGCTTCTCCCTCTGCCTGCCGCTCCCCCTGCATGTGTGTGTGTGCGCACTCTCTTTCTCTGACAAATAAATAAATAAAACTCTTAAACACACACACACACACACACACACAAGACAGCAGTCCTGTCACGGGAGTTTCTGAGGCACCACTGTCAATGTCTGCTCAGTGCACAGGGCAGGCCACTGGCTCATGGCGCCCACGTGTGATGTGTTCAGAGCACACAAACACTTTACCAGTCCAAGTGGACATCGAGGCCACATCCTTCCGGTTTCCCGAGTGGCAAACACATAAACGCGACAAGCACAAGCAGACAGCTCTCTGTGGCCACACCCCCACGGGCCTATGGCTACACTCAAAAAAACCATTAGAAAACCAATTAAAGTGGAGCTTCCTACCCGCGCTATGAAGGAAGCCAGCAGGACTGAACGCACAAAATGCAAATGTGAAAGGCCCACGGAAGGGCAGGAGGACGCCCAACACCTGAGCATGGCAACACCAATGGCTCATAAGCCACCACAGAACCACAGACAGCCCACTCAGATTCTGTGCAGGAACTCCCTGGTCACTGTACCCAACAGAAGCCCAAACCTGTCTTCCTGCAGCTCCCACTCTTGGTACTTAGTTTGAGCCCTGGGTTTCCCCACGAGGTCTGTTCCACCGTGCCCTCAATGGGCCTTCGAATACCTGCCTTCTGCCCCCGGTCATCGGTACAGGCTGGCCCAAGCAGCACCTCCGTGGGTCATGGTTCAACCGAAAGCCCACTTTTGCTGTCCGTGGTGTTTGCTTCTGGCGTGTCTCCATTTATACTGAGCCTTAGGAATGAGACCTGGGTCACTCCCTTAACTCCCACGCTTGGCGACTTCCATACCCTGTACAGGCCACCTTAAAACTGACAGTTACCAGTAGGCTCCCTGGGCCATCCCACTGCTTTCTTAGATCCTTCCCTCAACATGCATTTACTAGGTACCCATGATGAGCCTCAACTCTGTCCCCAAGATCCTGGCCAGTCAAGTCCCGAATTTGTCAGGCATACTACTTGTAGATGAACGTACTGGTTAGGGGTTCTGGCGGTAAACAAAGACATGAACCTGGTTGGAAAGGAAACCCCAGGCTCTAGACATAAGACCAGAGGGGCCAGTGGGCAGGGAGAACCACGGGAAGCATCCTCCACCACAGGCAGCTAGATGCTGCCACTTGCCCGTAGCCATGCTGCCACCAAGAACAATCTGCCCTTCTTTGCATTTATGGGTCGCCTCTCCGTGGCGGGGGGGGGGGCAGGGAAAGGGGACACCTGTCCCTTCACCAACTTCCAGGGAGGCAGAACTCTGTAGATGAGCTCTACCACCAAAACAGATAGGGTATTTGGTGGCTGTCTAGGCAAACCAGAGAAGTCCACTGCACTAAGGGAGATGGCTAGAAAAGAACACCACACAACTCAGCACCACCCCTCTTCAGAATTTTAAGGGGCACCTTGCACGGTGCTGAGCTCACAGCTACCTGATGACCCCGTGGCTGCTCTCGAGAACGGATTCTGCAGTGATGCTAAAGATCTCCTGGAGGACTAGAAAGGCAAGGTCAGAAAACCGTGTGTGTGTGTTGGAGGGGGGAGTGGGGGTCTCCATCACTGCCGTTCCCCTGCTGAGACACTCAGGCTGCCTCATAGGCAACAGCGGCTCAGAAGTCACGCAGATGCATGACTGTCCCCGACCCTGCCTGGAGGCCTAGTTCTTCTGGACAGGAGATGGGAATGCCAGTAGCACGTGCAGGGGCAGAGCAGTTAAATGGTCCACAGTGGGGCCCAGCCTTGAGTGAGAGGACATCTCTGTGCCTCCCCTCAACCACGTCCCTGAACCACAGGGAGAGTAGGAACTAAGCATATGGACTAGAGCATTTCTGAGGCCAGCCCAGGATTCCAGGGGCCGGCGTTTAAACAAAACGAGGACAGATAGCTCAGGCTGGGGGAAAATGACCTTGATCGAGCACAGGTGCCAGCTCCAAAGTTCCCCTGGACAGGAAGTGTGTCTGCTTGCTCTACACACCCCTGGCCTGGCCTGTGGTCAGGGCAGCGATGCACAGCCCTAGCCGCAGGGGCTCAACACTCACCCACTTGGCGATGGGACAGCCGCGTGAGCTCTTGCCCTCCTTCCCAGTGTAGATGACCTTCTCGATCCGGATGGCTTTCCCCTTCTCTCCGTACCTGGAGACGGAGACAGAAGCCACCATCAGCACAGTGGAGCCCCAGAGGAGAGCAGCTTATGGTAAGAAGGCAAGCCTCAGTGTGCTTCAGCGTGGGTTTTGTTACCATGGGGTCGACAGAGAAGGAGAAGAGTTTAAATGTTTGTTCTGTGCTGAGAGCCTCTGGAGACACAGTCACCACTTACGGGTTCCCAGGGCCTCTGGTCCATCTGGCCCAGCTCTGTCCCAGGGTGGAGGGGGCCGTCAAGCACAACATCCCTGAGGATTACCTCCGAGCCTCCAGGAGGGTGCTCAAGCCAGTGGCTAAACATGGGCCTTTGTACCCAGCCCTGTTAGTTGAGTCACTCTGAGAGTTGGTGATTTGTAAATTCAGAGTTGTAAATTTGTAAATAGGCAGAAGAAGGTAAACGGGGAAAGCCTTGTTTTCTTTCCAGATTCCCCAGCGGACATCTGAGCATGAGGAGGACAGACAGCTGAGGCCGGGGGAAGGGAGCCTACCAAGCCCCAGCTGTGGCCGCGCCACGGCCCCAGACAGCACCCAAGTCCCGCACACACGCTTGCCCCGGTCTGCGCACGTGCGCACGCACGCAGGGATCCCGAGGCCATCTCCTCCAGAGGTGAGGAAACCACGGCCCCGGAGCGAGCCGCCCAGCCCAAGGCCACACAACTCCAGTGCCACAGGCAACGGCAACTGCAGTGCCGGCCGGCCACTTTCTGCCTACAGGACTGTAGCCGCGTGACTGAACATCTCTAGGCCTCCGTTTCCTAACCTGTAAAATGGAGATAAAAACGGCTCCCACTTCTTAGACTTGGAAAGAGAACAAAAAAGATCGTCCCCAGGGCGTGCACAGTTTCAGGTGCTTTGAAGTTCTTGGCATGAGGGAAGGGCTCACTGAATATTAATTCTCAACAACGTAAGCAGCCATCTGACCGAACCGTCTTATTTGTAATAGCTTTTTAGTTTCGGGCACGAAGTCCTATCATCTGGAAGCAGGGTCCGTTGTCACCTCCTCCTGTCCACTGCTCACGCCCCGTTTCAGGCTCCTGTCTCTCTGTACCAGCCAGGGCTCCGGGAGTGCTAACAGGCACCTTTCCTTATTTCTTGTCTCCACTAACATGCTGCCGACTCCATCACTGAGCGTGAAGCCATCGCTTTCCTGACTTCAGGAAAGAGACAGAGACTGCCTTACTTTGAGAAGGCGTTAACTAAGGGTCTCCTGTTCTAAGGATTTTTAACCAAGAATTATTACTTTTATCAAAAGCACTTCTAGCATCAAAGGACATAGATGCCTGAATGGTTTTTTTTTCCCTTTCATCAACTGACACGGTGTGCTATTTTAACAGACTGTCTAAATCAAACTATCCTTGTATTTCTGTAATGAATCCGAGTTGGCCATGGCCAATTATTTTTAATATACTATTTAATAGAGAGCAATGTTATCATACCTGCTCCAGTTTACATATTCTCTACACACGCGCACACACAGTTACACATACAGGTATCCCTCACTTTTCAGAAGTTCATGTTATACCACTTTGCTCTTACAGAACACCTACATCTGCCCCTAGTTTTTGGTAACTGGAAGAAATCCAAAGAGAATTTCTGCTTTTACGAAGAAAGGCAAAAAGCGAAAATCGCGTTCAGCGTTTGTTTCGCAATGAGCCATTATGGAGGCAGTGCGAGGCCCGAGCGCTGGGGCAAGAGTGGCCCCACTGAGCTCCCTCCCCAGGAAATCCACTCAACATCCCAGTACCCAGTTGCCAGAGCTCTGAGCTGTGTCTGTGAGCATCTATGCTTTGTCTTGATTTATTCTGTGCATCCATTAGCCAGATGTGTCTTAAGGTATCAGAGAAGACTAAGAGAGGTTATTTTGGGGGGTCCAGGAATGCCCAAACATTTTTCCATGTAAGTTAAAGGTAACTGCTTCTTCACTTTGCTGCCATTTTTGGTTTAGGAAAGTTTTCCAAGGGATGCTCTACTTCTGGATAGTGGGGGAGACCTGTATTCTTTATCTCATCTGCTCCGCTTCCAGGATTCTCTACACCTCTGAAATAACTGTACAAATACACCACGACTTAGGAACAAGATAATCATTGTTGCATCAACTTAAAAATTAGAAACAACTTGAATATCCAGTATAGGACTGGCTAAATAAAATATAGTAAATTTCCATATAATGGAAAACCATGTAGCCATCAAAAAGGATTTGATATAATTATATGCACTAACATGGAAGAAATTAAGCGATGGGGGGAAGCAGCTGCAAACAGTAATCCCATTTGGTTTAAAATTTATATACATATGTGTAGCTATAAATGCTTAGAAAAAACTGAAGGGTAAGCATGTTTCTTGTGGATAATTGCTGGAGAGCTTTATTCATTCTTAGCTTTTTAAAGAAAGACTTTTATAGACAGGTTCTATTTTTGTAATTGGGAAAGAAAACAAATTATTTTTTAAAATACTGATGTACAGTTTCTTTGAGCTCATGGAGATCTTGAGTGAAACAGAGAAAGGGTTTCTGAGAATTAGCACGTGAAAATTCTATGGCTATGTGAGTCCCTTATAGAATGTGTTTGGGGACAGGACTCTGGGGAGTTGACATGGTATGGCCTGGCTCCAGAGGAAAAGACCAGATAAGTGCCGCTTTTGTTCAGTTCCTGGAAAACTTTCAATTTCACAAACATTTATCAGGAAGTGGCCCCCAAGTGCAAGCCTGGGTACTTGATGTGTCCTGGGGTCGCTGTGGGAAGAACAGCCCGAGGTGTCCATGCTGCTCTCACCGAAACAGACGGGATATCGTGTTCCCCACAGGAGGGTGAGCTGAGGACACTGACGCGAGCTTTCTGACCAGTACCTTCTCCACCATCCCACCCGTGTGAGAAACACTTCCTGCACTGAACTGAATATTCAAGCGCAAATAAAAGGGCCAAGCACTGTCTGAACAGCTAGACCATTTTTTTTTTTTTTTAATCAGAACTATGTCTGTGCTTAAAGACAACCAATCAACACTGGATTTGGCTCTTTTCTTCTTAAATGTCTCACTCGCTGGCCTGTCCTTAAGATGATATTCTAGAACGTCTAGATGATGTTCATCACCATAGACAGATGATCTCCTAGACCCTAAGCAAAGTCTGAAGGGATAGGCTGAAACCTTATTCTGAGGGATAACTTGATCATCTTAGCAAGTTGTTCTCAAAGAGCGGTGCTGAGACCAGCCTTACCTGGGAACTCGGGAGGAATGCAGACTCTCGGGTCCCATCCCAGACCTGCTGGGTCAGGAACTCTGGGGTGGGGCCAGGGATCTGAGCTTTCACGCGTCCTCCGGGAGACTATGAAGCATGCTCAAGTTTGAGAACCAGTGATCTAAGGTTGGACTTCTTTGGGGTTACCTTTATCACACAATAATGAGACTAGTTCTCCTAAACTCAGAGGCTTTGCCAGCAAGTCCTGGTTCTCTGTTTTTCAAATGAACTCCTAGACTACACAGAATCCCCTTCCAGTTGGAGGACACGGGGCTCTGCAGCACACCCTTCTCAGATATGAGTTTGAACAACTGACTACAATTACCTATGTCAATGGGGACCTGGGTTCCCCACATGTGGAACCCATAAATAAATTGGGAGAATATTTTAGGATTTGCTTTTGACCTCCCCCTCCTTTTTCCAAATCTTTACCAGAGAAGCTAAAAGCACCAACGTCTCCTTGATTTCAGTTCGCTTCCCCTTCCTGACTTTGGCCAACTTCTGGTGGTAGAGTGGTCCTGCAGAGAGAGGGTCGGGGGAGAGGTCTAGGGAAAGAGACAGCCTGGACCATTCACAGACTAGACCCCCAGCCTGGTGGTGTTCACTGATCATTCATTCCTCTCCTTGTTCCACAAGAAAACTTTTTTAAAAAGAGGTCTATAAGATAAAAATAACAGGTGATGAAATCAGAGTAAAGGGGGAAAAGATGGACATAACGTTGGTATGTAAAATGCAAGCAGTAGGGTGTCTTGTGTGTATTCTGAGAGATGGGCCTAGAAAATTTCATTGTGTGAGAAATCCAGGAAACTAATGAAGACTCCTTTGGGTCATATCAAAAGGACTCAGAAGTGAACCTGAGGTTCCCATGGGCCAAAGATGAGAAATTACATTCCTCCTAATAGGGGTACACAAATCCGGCCCTAAGCTTACCAGCAGCTAACGAAGATGGAAACGCAATCTGTTACATAATTTACAAGGTCCTTAAGATAAAAATAAACCAGCTGCTGAGGAAAAACACAAGTATTCCTGGTCTTGACAGGAATTCCTCCCTTGGATCAGTTTCTGAAGAATCTACAGTTGGCTGTTATTTTTAAAGCAATGAGGGGGAAAAAAAAGGACAAATCTCAACTTTATCACTATCTCCTAATCCTTGTTTCAAAACATACTCTTCTATAACTAAAAGTTATTTAGAGGGCTGTCTAGAAATTTTGTAAAATTGTTACCAAGAAACAAACACAAACAAAAACTGTCCCAGATCAACGTGCACATTGGACTCCCCTGCAGCCCTCAACCTGCAAACAATAATGTCAAGATTTCCTACAAGAAAAAAAAATCACTGGCCAAAATGCTGGCTGCCCCAACCTTGGCGCTGCAACGCATATGTGTGTTGGCACATGCGGGCGGTGCATGTACAAAAACACACCCTGTCTTAAACGTTTCATTCTCAAGGACTCGGAGGTACCCTTTCAATCAGGCTCAAATGTGCAGATCGGGTCTTTGATCAAATGCTTTTCTGATGGGCTACTTTGAATATAAATGTTTCCAGATGGTACAGGACAATTAAGAGTCATTACAGGAGATCACAGTCCTCCATCCATCTTAGCATTTATTTATTCAGGGATGCCATTACAGTTTTTCAGTTCAAAATCACGTTCCCTGCTACATTAATGACAGGATTCTTTTGGCTCCCCTGATCAGACAAAATACGGTTCCCAAATCTGTGGGAACTCTGAGCCACTCAGTCTTCCACACATCTCTATGTATATGTACACACAAACATATTTGTCTACATAATCTTTGCCTTTACTATTAAAATACTAATGCTTGTTATAAAATTTCCACCAGTACATATGTGTTTGAGATAGACCCCCTGATGTGGTCCTTCCCTGTAAGCATTAACTGCTTTCCAGACACCGACTCAGCTTCTCTTCATTACTCTCCTACAACATATGTGTACTTCTATCATCTCCATTTTGCAGATACGAGAACTGAGTCACAAAGAGGTAGAGCAACTTACACAAGGACTCAGCAGGAAGGGGCAGGGCCAGGATTAGACCTTGAAGTCTAGCTCCAGTGTCCACATGCTCTCAATCACCAAGCTATTTTACCCTTCTGTACACTGGAACTCGTGGCATTTAATATCTGCTGTGGACACATACGTAGATTTTAAAGTCTCCATTCAAACTGCTTAAAAAAACAAAACAGGGCTGTTAAGGAAAAACCCTGTAGTCTTGAGTTTGAATTCTAAGTGTCAATGTAACCTCCGATGTATTTGATCACTAATCAATAACCAAAAATAAAAACCCGACCCATACATCTTAGCTCTTTCTACTGAAATGACCTAGAAGCCATGGGCACACCTAGTACCAGAATTTTTCTAAATACTTCTTCCCCCAATAGAAGGGACCTGGACTTCTTGGGTAAATGCAGAATGCGCGCCCCGAGCATAACGCCGTACGAGGAATCGAGAAAGCTATCAAAGACTCCTGGGACAGCGTCAGAACGACTCAGGACACAACCTGAACAGACACCCACTGGCCAACGAGGAGATAGTCTATTCCTCCTAGCGGAGGCACAAAATACCACCTATGAAGTCATTTTGAAAAAAAGAAAGAAAAAAAATTGTCTGATTCCCATGACGTCTTTAGCTCTAGCTGCAAATTTATAGGCCACAGCGAGGGCAGAAGGACACAGTGAACAATACTGTAGAAAAGCCAGCAGCAAAATTCAGACCTCGGGAAACACTATGGGACATAGAGTCATTTCACCACATCTCATCAATAAAAAATAGTTCAAGAGAGAGAGAAGAGCAGGGGAGGGGAAGACAGAGAGGGCAGACCTACGGAGAGAGAGAAACCCGTAGTCAACCTTCCACAGTCTGGGTATCATGACCTCCTTCCTGTACATCATCCGGTACGAGGCAATGACAATGAGAGGCGCTTCAAGGCCACGCTCTCTTAACAACTGCCCACCTCTGCTTGGACACCTGGGCGTCACTCACCGCTCCTCCATGAGCTCCCGGATAGAGGCTACCGTGGGGCCAGATCCCAGGTGAGTATAATACGGACCTTCATCTTTCTCCACTATTTGTTCTGCAGAAACACAGAGTAAACATTATTTGGAGGCATCGGTTCATCAACATCAATTTAGAAAGGCAAACCACCAATAGGAACATTAATGGGCACGTTACCAAACAGGAAATTCAAATAGCTAATAAACATGTGAAAATGTGTTCAACTCCTTCAGGAATCAGGAAATGCAAATTAAAATCACAGCACAACACCATGGCACATTGGGCAGACTGGCAAAAACTGAAGAATCTGGTAAAATCAAGTGTTGTCAAGATTGCAGTCGAACCACTTTAGAATTCAGTTTACCACTGTACGCGTTCTAGACCGGGGTAGGCAAACCACTCTACTCCTAGGGATATACACAAAAGAATAAAAAATAACGACTCACTCAGATACTTGTAGGCCAATTTCACAGCAGCATTATTCACAAGAACCAAAGGGTGAAAACAACACAAATGTCCATCAACAGATGGACAAAATGTGGGGTAGCCGCACAATGGAATATTACCCAACCATAAAAAGGAATGAGGTTCTGACACCTGCTACAATGTGGATGAGCCTGGGAAAAATGATACTGGGTGAAAGGAGCCAGACACAAAAGAACAACCACTGCATGATTCCATTTAAGATGAGATGCCTAGAACAGGCAAATTCCTAGAGATAAAAATTAAACTAGAAGGTACCAGGGCTAGCAGGAGCAGAGAAAGGGGACTTACTGGGTACTGCCCTTCCGCGGGGTGGGGATGGGGGGATGAAAACGTTTTGGAAATAGGTAGTGGGGATTGGTTGCATGATATTGTGAGTGTAGTTAATGCCACTAAATTGTACATTTAAAAATGGTGAAAATGGCAAATGTTATGTAATATGTATTTTACCGCAACTTAAACAAAAGGGAGGGAAGTACTGACATGCGGTACAATGCAGATGAACCTCAAAACCAGGATGCGTGAAAGGAGCCAGACACAAATCATCGCATACTGTATGGTCCCACTCGCGGGAAATATCCAGAATGGTGAGAACGCAGACTGACAGCTGCCAGAGGCTGGGTAACCGCTGAGCGAGTACGGGATTTTGTTCTGGGGTGAAGAGCACGTTTTGGAACTGGACAGAGGTGGTGGTTGTGCACTGTAAATGTACTAAATGCCACCACTCCAGTGCTTACTTTCCAATGGTTAATTTCATGTTATAGGACGTTTGCTGCATTTTTTTTTTTTTTACAAAAGGAACAGATTATTGATGCACACAACCTGGATGAATTTTAAATGAATTTTTCTCAGGAAAAGAAAGGAGACCCAAATGACTATGTAATAGTAGCTTTGGAAAACAGTTTTGGGGCGCCTGGGTGGCTCAGTCATTAAGCGTCTGCCTTCGGTTCAGGTCAGGATCCCAGGGTCCTGGGATCGAGCCCCGCATCGGGCTCTCCGCTCCGCGGGAAGCCTGCTTCTCCCTCTCCCACTCTCCCTGCTTGTGTTCCCTCTCTCGCTGTGTCTCTCTCTGTCAAATAAATAAATAAAATCTTTAAAAAAAAAAAAAAAAAGAAAGAAAACAGTTTTGACTGGCTACTATATAAGGCTGAAAACAAAAAGAACTTCACACGAATACTGTAGTGGAGCTTGTTTTATGTCTAAAGAAATGTGACAACTAAGTGCAGTGTGGTATCCTGCACTGGCCCTAGAACAGAAAAAGGACATTAGTGGAAACACTGATGAATTCCAAAGTCTGCAGTTCACAGTATTGTACCAACATTAATGTCTGATTTTTAAATGCACCGTAACCATGTAAGATGTTTACATTAGGGGCAGCTTGATAAAGGGTATACAAACACTCTGTTCCAATTTTGCAACTCTTCTATAAATGTAAAATCATCTCAACAATAAAAGCTTTAAAAAAATAAAGAACTAGGCAGCGGGCCCTACTTTGCCAATTCTGTCCTAGAAGAAATCTTTGTTACATGCATCAAAACACATGTTCAAAGATTTTCATAGTAACCTTGTTTTCAATGGTCAAAACTGGAAACCTATAACCCAGCAACAGTGGGATGGATATAGTGCAGCACAGTCGTATGATAGGATCTATCTAGCAGCGAGAACTGACAACTTTCCACAACATGGTTGAACACAACATCATAGTAAAGGAAAGAAGCATAGCAAAAAACAAATACAATAAGGTCACATTTAAGTAATATTAAAAAAAAAGAGGCTCCACTAAACTATACTGTTTAAAGACACATGCAGAGGTGGTAAAAATTACTAGGTTGAAATATGAAATTGCAGACATTCGATGGCTTTTTACCTACAAACAATGGTGATTTTGTATGGTCCAATCTTATGATAAAGAAAAACAAGAAAATCATTGTCACAAGTCAAGAGAGTGGTTGCCTCTGGGGGATGGAAAAGGAATGTGAATGGGACGGAATCTTCAGGGGACTTCTGAAGAGCTGGAAATGTCCTATTTCTTGATCTACGTTGTGGTTACCCAGGCATTCATTTTATAAATTTTCATTGAGTTGTCTGTGAATATTTTGTGTACTTTCCCATATATATATATATATATATACACACACACATATATATATATACACATATATATGTATGTGTCACAATTCTTTAAATGTAAAAACACTGTCATACCTCTTTTATGCAGATTATGCTCAGCTTTATGGGGGTGAATTCAAGATAGGATATCTGATTGCTGCCTTTTAAAAGTTTATGGTCTACCTGGGTAGATAAGATCCACACATAAGAAGATACCTAATGGCATTTCAAATCAGTGGGGAAAGATTAATTTTTCAGTGCATGGTGTTGAGACAACGGGGGAAAAGTCTGATCCATACTTAATACTTTACCCCCAAATGTATTCTGAAGAGTTGGAAGATTTAAATACAAAAAAACTTAAACTATAGAAGTTCTGAGAGGAAAAAAAAGGGAGAGTTTCAAAAATATTCATAAAAAAGGGAAATCTTCTCTAAGTATAACATGAAATTCTAAAGCCCCCCCACATACATACAAATCCTGATAAATTTAACTCAAAAAAAATTTATAGCAATAACTATCAAAAGACAACACACTGGGGAGAAATATCTGGAATTCACGCCAGCCAAGAGGCTAATTTCCTTAAAATATCAGGAGCTCCTATAGCTAAATAAGGTCAGTAATTCAAGAGAAAAATTTAAAAAGGATAAAAAGGACAATGCAAATGGCTCAAACATCTGTAAAGCTACAATAAGGTACCAGTTTTCCCTTTCAGAGGAGTCACCATCAATGCCCTGTGTTGGTGAGGGTATAGGAAAACAGGCAGTATGGAAAGTAATTTAGCAATATGTTAAAATTACAAATGCGCATGAGTCCATTTGACTCAGCAATTTCAAAGAATTTCAAATCTTCTAAGAATTCATTTCTGGAAATTTGGATATGTGAAAATGATATGTATATACAAGAACACTCAATGCATCATTTGTAATGGCAAAATATCAGAAACCTCAATGTCCATCACGATACATTATGTATTCTAAAGACACTATGGCACATTCATATAATGAAATGCTAAGCAGTATCAAAAGGAATTAGGCAGCTCCAGATTTACTGACAAAAAATGACCTTCAAGATACCTTAAGTGGGGGAACAAAAGCAAATTTCAATACTGCACGTATTAATACACTGTAGTCCGTGTACACATGCAATCACACATATGTTAGTGTACATACGTCACACACACACACTACAGGCGAGGAAAACGGTGTTTGGGTCACTACCGACACTAAGAGTAAGTGTAAGAGCAAGTTTGTGAAAATGAGTTCAGTTGTGTTCCTGGCTTTAAAAACAAACAAGAAGGGGCGCCTGTGTGGCTCAGTTGCTTAAGCATCCGGCTCTTGATTTTGGCTCAGGTCCAGTCCTCAGGGTTGTGAGATCGAGCCCCGTGTTTGGCTCCACATGGGGTGTGGAACCTGCTTAAGATTCTCCCTCTCCCTCTCCCCCTGTAGCCCTCCCATTTCTCTCAAAATAAAATAAAATAAAATAAAATAAAATAAAATAAAATAAAATAAAACAAGAAAAGGTCTGCAGAGCTTTCAGGCCACTATGAAGCTGGGGAGGTCCCGGCCAGGCTGAGGATGTTGATCTCACTGAACCCCCAGCCCTCTGACATTTCCCTGAAGCCCCTCAATAAAAGGTTTGCAATGGTGTGTTGCAGTTCAGCTGATGAACTGACGGGACGTGCCTGCCTCTTTTGGCTTCTGCTCCTGGAGGCTCTTCATCCCCCACTAAGGTGCTGGGTCAGGCTCTTGCCTGAATTATGGGCATGATCTCACTGATCTAGCCCTCCTCGGTTATCCTACCCAATTCCACCAGTTTATACACCCCCCCCAAAATCTGATCACACCACTTCGCACTGATGACCCCACGTCAGACAAGAGAAAGAACCCAAATTCCAGAGCAGAGTCCACAAGGCCCCTGTGGAGCCACCCCTGCACATGTCCCAGCCCCGTATGCGGCAGTGGCCAGCACAGCTCCTGTCACACAACTAGGCAAGCCCTCCGTGACTTCAAACAGGCTTCCTCACTGACAACAACGCCTTCCCTCACTTATCTCTTTGGAAAAGCTCCTCTCTTAAGGTCTAGTTTAAATGGCACCTCTTCTCTGAAACGCCAGTGCACTTCTCAGGTCCACTTTCCCTGTGGATCCCCAGAGCACCTTGCAGACAACAGAAACATCAAGGCATGGATCACAGCAGGCTTTTATTGTTAGCATGGCAGAGGAGAAAGAACAAGGAGTTTGCAGAGCCCTGGGGAACTGCGACGAGTTACCTTCCCAGCCTCCAGGCCTCATGCCTTCCTGTGCAAACTACACACAGGGCTCCGTGCAGTCCTTGGCGCATCATACGAACTCAGTAGGCAGCTGCTGTCCAGGCTCTGCCAAACAAATTGTGTGACTGTGGCCAAGTTACACAACCCTTACGAGCCTTAAAAGCAGTTAAAATAATGTTCCTACCTTACAGAATTCTTGAGGATGAGATGAGATGTCACC